AAAATCTTATTTATATTTTTTTAAAATAAATGAACTAAATATTTTTATTTAAAAATAAATAGACTAAAATCATAAATAAATAAAAAAGATCATACAATTTTGCTTAATAAAAATTCCAGATAAATTAAGAATAGACTTTTTTTTGGGTCCATGAATGGACTTCTGAAAATGTGATAAGAAAAACCCTGGCTGGCCTCTAACCTATGGACAAAAATATGTCATTTATCCAAACGAAATGCCTAAGAAGTTAAGCCCATGATTTTAGCAGTTTCTGGTTTGTTTGCCGTTAAAAGTCTGCACCAAAAGATTGGGCCTTTCATTAGATTGAGGTTATGAAATGTACAGTCCATGAATGTTATCATCCATTTTTTAAAGATTTTTTATTATCGTATATTCGTAAAAAATATATTATAGGTTAATTTGAATTTTTTAATAATGAGGTTAATTTGAACTTATGTAATAAATTTTTAAATACTTTTAAAATTTTGAAAATTTGATATATTTATTAAAAATTTATAATTTAATAATTGAATATATATCATAAATTATTGGGTGAAATAGTTTTTTTTTTATTTTTATTTATTTACAGGGATTACTCTTGAAATAATGTAATCCTATTCTTTTTTAATTAATATACTTTATTCATTTTTAATGTTTTATATTTAATTAAATTATGTTATTTTTTTAATTATCAAAAAAGTGTGTGATATAATCTATTAAGCGCTAAGATGAGAATATGGATCTTGACGGCATCAATTACATCAATTATATGTTACATTTTAGTTTAAATATGTTTTTATTTTAAATTTAATTTTAATCTCTCAGATTAAAAATAATTTTTCAATCCTTAAAATTGAAAAATGTATTGTAATTTATCTATTCAAATATCATTGATAATTTTGTCATGAAAATTTATTTATTAGTGTCATTGTTAATAAAAAAAATACATTAAATATAATTAATGTTATACAATTGATTTAAATTGTCACTAACAATAATGTTACCGGTAATTTTGAGAGATTAAAATAAATTTTTTTCTCTCCAAATTGTATGGACTAAAAAGGGACAAAAACAAATTTTGTTATCCTAAATTTAAAAAACAAGAAATATATTCATCCCTTACATTTTTACATTTTTATAGTAAATTGTTTTTTCTTGTATTATGCTCGTATTCCTAAAAAATGAAGTTGATACTTGCTATTATAATATTTATGATACGAACAAGTTAGTTATGGCACAAATGAATTTAGATCCTAAAAGCGTGACAGAGCATCTTGGGAGTGGGGGAGGCCATGGCCCTCCCAATTTTTTTAAATTTCTTTTTAAATATTTTAATAAATTGATTATCATGTTATACAAAATATAAAATCAACGTATATCTATATCTATATGATTTAATGGTTTAGTTGAATAATTTAATCAAATCTAATGAGTTGATGTTGTGGTTATACTTTATATGCTCACATAATGCGTGAATAATCTATATAGTGAAAAATACGTTAAAAAAAAATATGTTACATCCCAATTACATGGAGAAATCTTTTGGACATATGACAATTACAGTACCATGAGTTAATTAGTCTTTATCTTGATCAATGAACTAATAAATATCCATGACAAGACAAGAAAAATATAAATATAATAGAATAGATAAATAAAAAATAAAAAATATAATAAATGATAAATAAAAAATAAATAATAAAGATAAATATTGATATGTTATAAGTAATTCTTATAAAGGTATTAAAGGATTGGATTAGGTTGAGTTTAGACAAACCCATTACTTGATTTGATTAAAATTTAATGAGTTGAGTTGAATCGAATTTGTACTTTTTTTCAGAAACACAATTCAATTCAATGACAAACAAGTTAGGTTAAGTTGAGTGATTCTGGTCGGCATAATTATTTTTTAAAATTTAAATATTTCAATAAAAAGATTTGATTAATAGAATCACAATGGAACATCTCTTGATCACAATGAAACGGCAGGAGCAAATCCAATGCAATTGCTTGTTGTTAGGGTTTTTTTTTTCAATAAATTGAAAATTAAACTACTTGTATAATGGTTCGATTTTTTATTATTGAAATAAATATAGTAATTTTATTTAAAATTTAAAATTAAATTACACATCAGCTAAAATAAAATAAAATATTTTAAAAATACACGTCACAAGTGCTGACATGACAGTTCTATTAACTTGTAATGGTAAAAAGTTGAAACTAGAATCAAAATAATAAAGTTGTACTTAATAAAGACTAAAATTAGTCATAAAATTTTGTAAGGACCAAAAACAAAATATTTAATTCAAAAAAATTGTTAAATTCCTTAATTTGTATATAATATTTTAAAAAATTATTTTAAAAAATGAAAGTAATAATAAGTTAGATTAAATATATTTTAAAAAAATTATAGTTGTAACTTACTAATTTACTCCTTAAAAAAATAAACAGGTATAAGTTAACTAACATTTTGAGTCAAATAAGGTTAATTGTTTTCAAATCGACATTTTTAATAGATACAACAAATTGGACCCACCAATTGTCTATTTTTTGAATCTAAATTTTAAGAGCTTTGTCCTATCTTTATTTATGGCACCTAACATATGTGCATTGATCTTAGCTCATTTTGCTACTTTCTCAGTTCTTTATTAAAAAAAAACATATTTTTTCTCTTAAATATAAATAAATTTAACTAATTTGATATCATTTAATGATATTTTTTTTAAATATTTCTCATTTAATATATAAATTTTTAATTATACTATAATAAGAATAGTTTAGAAAGAACCTTATGAAAATAATAAAATTTAATATAATTAATTAATTTTTTAATATGCTTAAAATTAATTTTTTTTTAATAATTGAGAACACCTATTAATTTGTGCTGCACACGTTTCCGTTCATATATAAATTTATTTAATTCTGTACGAAACAAAATTTAATCCACTTTGTACTATAGTAGTTGGGAGTCCCTTTCACGCATTAACAACGACAAATGTGGCGTTATAATTTAAACACTGAATCAAAATCGCACAGAACTACGGAACTATATTCTCTGTTCAACTGCACGAATTTTCGCTTCTTTTATACATTAAAGTATAACAACTAAAATGCAATTTTCTAGTTGTCTTATACAGAGTCGATATCAACTGAGAAATGAATGCTACAACAACAACATATCCTTTGGATTTTGGTTAGATGCAAAGTTTCACTTTTTAGAGAACTAATAAATAAAAAAAACAAAAATCTCATCACTTGTATATGTACTTTCATTTTTATATTCCAAATACCTTATTAATCTCTTAATTTATTTTTATTAAGATTTTTACGTATATAATAATAGTAAAAATAATAATTTATATAACTAAATTTTATAATAAATAAATATTAGTATTTTAATTTGTTTAATACACAGATAAAATGTTTATTAAATATAACAATTTTTAATAAATTATATATAATAATAAATATTATGTTTGAATATATAAATTATATTTTAAATTTATATAAATAGATATTTTAAACATATAAATTATATTTTAAATTTATGATAAATAATTTATATTATAGTACAAGATTATTTTTATTTATTGTTAACTAATCATGATAAATAAAAATTAAATTAAATAAGAAATTGAAAAAATCCTTAAAATTAAACTCTCTTTTTGAAAAATAAAATCTTCCAAAAATATTATCGTGTTAAATAAGATTTGTGTTTAATACATAAGGATTGATTTTAAACATATATATTATATTTTAGATTTATAATAAATAATTTATATTTTGATATCAAATTATTTTTATTATTGATAATTTTTTGACAATAATATTAGAATTTATTTAACAATAAAAATGAAAATGATATATTATTTAAAAGATATAAAAAAAAATCTTTAAAAATACTTTTATCAGAAAAAATATCTTAAAAACATTTATCCAAGGAGAACAAGTCTTAAAAACATTTTCATAAGATGACTATTTTAGTGTGTGTGTTGCTCTCATTTTCTGATGAAACTAAACATGAAAGAAAAAAAATTGTTAAATTAATATTTAACGACCATTTCAGATTTTGCTAGATAGTGTTGTCGTTATAGTTCAACAATTCAATGAAATGATATGTGAAAGCCAAATTGGACCAATGATTTCCACCACAAATTAATTCTTTGACATTAGTTAGCATGTCACAAATATTAATGGATCACTTGCTCCTACGTACATGTACTACTTCCGACAGCGCAGTAAGAAAAGAAATAAAAATGTGTTTTACAAGTTATAATAAAATAAGACCAAACTCTGTTTTTATTAAAAGTTAAAAAATATAGCCTTTAAAAAGAATTATTATCAAATTAATCTCTCAAATATTTAGTGCATTTTCACCGAGTTAGAAATTTTGTGTCATCACTTTAGTTTTAGCTAAAAAAAAAATAACAAAAAAAGTCATCTTTTGTTATTTTATTTATTATTTTTAAAAATATTTAATCAAGAAATTGTCCAGAACATGTTTTCTTAAATGAAGATGAATTTTTGACTCATTAAAATAGAGATTATTTTTATTTTCACCATTTCATTATAAATATTTAAAACAATGAATAAAATAAAAATAAGATAATTTTTTTTATAAATATTTAAGTAACTAGAAAATGATTTTTTTTCAACTTTGACTCTAGTTTTTACTGTTCTTGTACAAAAATTTGAAATAGGAAATAAAATAAAAAAAAATTAAAAATAGGTTGACAATATTTGATAATCTACACATTATGAAGAACAAGGTGAAATACATATTTATATATATAGGAGAGAAAATATTATCGTTAATTGAAGAAACATTAAAGCACATTTATTATCATGTAATAATCAGATATTACTACTTGTTAGACTTAACCATAGAATGATAGTTTTTGGTATGTTAAGGACTATTCGAGCTAGGAGTAATCTTTGTTGGGCATGCCAATTAGTATTTGGTTGGTAACATGAGTTCTTCCATACCAGATCATGGATGAAAGCCAAAATGTCTTTAGTAGGAACAGAAAGACCTACCCGATACATAAGCCCCCAAAGTCTTCGACTCTTGGGAGAAGAGTTCATTTGTGTTCGTGGTGGGAAAAAATTTTGTTTTTTGCTTTTGAATTTTTGAAATCATTGATTTTCTAGGTACGCCATTGTTCGGGATATGTAATGATAGAGTCACCTCAAGTGTATAATGACGATCTGTCAGCTACCCCAGGAAGGTTTTGGAAACCTAAGTGTGGAACGTTGCCCAAACATGAAGGGTTTCTTCCGTTTCATTCATTGATCTTGAAGAAATCTAACAATTCAAAGAGGTGCAGTGCTTCATTTCTCGGAGTTCTTCGTATCCATAAATAAGATCACGTAGATCATGAGAATTTACTTACAACCTCTGCCTTTCGAATACTCCAAACACTTCTCGTCATCCCACCTCTCTCTTAGTGACCGAGAATCAAGTACCTACTAGGTACGCCTTCATTCTTCTCCTTTTATGAATTCAAGTGGTAATGTAAAATCTCCTTTCTTGGGCAAAATGTAAGTAAATGTCATTTCCTCTAATTTTTCTTCTAGTTCATCTAGATCTTCCTCTCCCTTTTCTTCTTTCTACCCCAGCCACCCCAATGCTTTAGTACATGTTATTGTTCTTCTTCTTCTTGGTACATGTTTTCAATAAATTTTAACCAACAAAAGCACATATTAAGAGAAGTATGTTGCTAGTACTCCTCATAAATAAAAGATCATGATTTCACTTGAATATATTTTCATGCAAATGACCCAGAGAGAAATGATGAAGTTTTCTTTCTACATGTTTTATTTCATCTCAATTCACCACAATTGTTTGACTTCAAATTTGAATTAATTAATCTGAAACCAACTCAACTAAACAATTATTTAGAAAAAAATTAATTTATTAAAATAAAATTGATAGGTGAACAATTACATTTTTGGGTTAATTTAGCCACAATTTTTTCATTTCTTATTTCTTTGATTTAATTACATTTTTTTTTATTTCATGGCCAACAATTTTATAACTTTTGTCACACAACTTTGAAATTTGTATATTTTAATATTATATTAATCAATTGTGATATAATATATTAATTACAACAATTAAATGTTTCTTTTATTAATAGTACTTAAAAATTAAACTAGATTTTTATTATGAATTAGATCAATAGATAAATAGATAGGATCTAATATAAATATATAGTTAGATAAAAAGGGAGAGATTGAATTTTATTTTGTTTAATCAATTTATATAAAGTATTGAGAAAAAGTAAGAAATAATATTATAAAATAAAAAAAAGAGAGATTAAATGAATAGTATAACCCATTACTATGAATTTATCAAAATGTCAATTCTATATATATTAAATAAAAAAATTTTGAGTTAAATTTTAAGAAGTGCATTTCAATATTGTTTGTATAAAAGCGTATTATAGTACGTAGTATTACCTTAATAATTATATATTTTTTTGTTAATTCATATCTTTAATTTAAATATGATTATAGTAGCATTTTTTTAATCATTTTTCAATTATACATTTTACAACTCATTTTTATTATTTCTTTGTCACACCATTCATTTTATACATTAACATTAATTAACACAAGTGATAATGACTTGTGTTCTTTAACTAAGATATTTAAGATTTAAATTTTGATTTTAAATATGAAATAAATGATAGATACTTCACATAAATACCATAAATACAAAAAAAAAATTATTTTATCCTACATTTGTCCCTCCCCATCTCCCATTTAAGCAATATTATTGAATAAAAAAATTTTATTTAAAATTTAGTCAAGAATACTAACGATATATTTTCTAATAATAAATTAAATTTATTAAAAATCATAATATTAAATAAACTTCACTTATTATTTTATAATATTTAATAATGAATATATGTATCACCCTCACTAGTCAATTTTTGTTTGTTGAACTCAACAAACAGGTACTCCTTAATTTCCATTCCAATTCCATCGTTTATCATGTGATTTGTGTGATCAACATGCATGATGTCACTCTTCGAACATAAGCTGAGACATCAGACATATGCTTATAAATACCATGCGTAACTCTGAAACATAATCGTGCTTAATTTCTTTGTTTTGCTGACGAATTAGCTAAAAAAACAAAAGAAAATGGTGAAGTGCTTTGAGGAAGAAGTTTCAATGCCTCTGAGCCCTATGGCTGATTACTTCAGCAGTTCTTTGATAAACGTATTCGTTCTTGGTGTTTTGGAATCTCAGATTCCAATTGATCACTCAAGAGCCGAACCTCTGCTTAAGGACGCGTTCCTTCCCATCTCCACGCGTTTCTCTTCTATCTTGGTACGTCAAATTAACATATCTAGTAAATATTTGTATGTTAATCACGTGTGTCTGTATTCTTTCTTTCTTAATTAACTCTCAGTATTTGTTTAAGATAGTAAATAAGATTGTTTCAGTTTAAGTTTAACTAATAATATAACAATTTTAATATTCTTTCATCTTATCATTCTCACCGAATTCAAATATATAAAGCTATCGATCGACAACTATATTTGAATCTTTGTTTAAGATAGTAAATAAGATTGTTTAAGTTTAACTAATAATATAACAATTTTAATATTCTTTCATCTTATCATTCTCACCGAATTCAAATATATAAAGCTATCGATATCGACAACTATATTTGAATCTTTACTATATATCGAACCTGACACCATAAGGACAAAATGAAAATGTACAAAGTTGATAGTTGATATATCCGCGGGTCTGTTTTATTTAAAGTTCACTGCAATATAATATATGTAAATATATATCTATTTAACATATAGTTATACACAATTTTAGTGTTGATTTTGAATGAGATTTAACAACATATTTTGTGTGTCACTATAACTTATACTCACACTTTTTGATAATATACCAACATATATTATATTTATTGTGTAGGTAAAGATAATTTTTAGTGACACTTATTGTGTCATTATAGAATGTGTCACTATACGACAATTTTCTTGCAGTGGTTATATAATCATTAATAAAATTTAAGATGTTTAAAAATAATGAAATGGATACAGAAAATATTAATAGAGGATATTTGCTGGGTCAATCATATATATCAATATTTATCATTAGTTTGCGTAAAATTTAAGTTTTTCTCAATTATTATATCTCCTTGTCAATAATATTAGATTTGATGTTTGAAAAATAAAATAAGTACATGTCTCATTAATTAATTTAAAACAGTCATTAATATTATTTTATAATGCGAGTTTTAGATTTAATTTAACTTTATAAAATCGATCCATAAAATTTACATATTCTCCCACTCATATTCCCTACTTGATATTATCAACAGTGGATGTGAGCTAAAATTTTCTTAATATATGATCAAAGAAACTTATGTTTTGTTGAAATCGAAAAAAAAGTTAATATATGTTTTTCTTAATTCTTTGTACAAAATCCTAAAGGCAAATATTTTGAGGAAATCTTCAACTGTGACTGAAATATAAATTAATTAAGAATAAAATGATTCATTTGAATTATTGGTTGAAAGCATAATATTATTTAGCCTTTTGATAACATAAATGGAGTGAACTTGAACAGGTTATGGAGAAGAAAGGAAAAAAAGGATGGAAAGAAGTTGATGTAAATCTCCAGGACCACATCAAGGTTCCCACTTTTCCCACCATCGTGCCATTCAAGTTATATGACAAATGTTTCGACGAATACATGTCAAAAATAGCTATGGAACAGTTACCACAAAATAAACCACTTTGGGAATTGCACATATTTAAGTATCCAACGAGCAATGCTGCAGGAACTTTTATATTCAAGCTCCATCATGCACTCGGAGATGGTTACTCTTTCATGACAACCTTGCTTTCGTGCGTACAAAATGCTCACGATCCTTCAATTCCTGTCAAATTTCCTTCAAGCAAAAGATCGATGGAATCGAAAAATACCAACATCATGCTAAAAATATTGCCTCAAACTGTATCCATGGTATTTAAGAGTGTATTCGATTTTGGCTGGAGTGTGATGAAAGATAGCCTGATTCCAGATGATGAAACACCAATAAGGTCAGGGCATAAAGATGTAGGGTTTCGACCTATGACCTTCTCAAATGTTTCTCTCTCTTTGGATGACATCAAAGAAGTCAAAAATAAACTGAAAGTGGTAAGTTCATCTTGTTTTTTTAATGCTTTAAATGTCATGCAAAAATCAACAAAGTGTAATATAGTTAATAGATAAACTTGTTCTATAAACATGTGATCGAAATTCAATTCCTAATCATTATGTATGAAAAGAATTTTGTTAAGATGAATCCATTATATCAATCATAATATTTCAGAAGATTATTAGACGTTAACTTTTGTCGAACGAATATCTTAATTTACTAAGAAAAATGACACTCAAAGCTTTTTTATAAGTAAAAATTGAAATTGGAATTAACAGAATTTGTAATAGTTTTGGCACTGTGTTTAACCAGCTGAGTTAAACCACCTAAATAAAATGTCACTTGAATGTTTCAATTACAATATTTCTTTGGAAAAATATATCATTAATTGAATTTTCCTGTTTTATCTACTTATAGAGCGTAAATGATGTCGTGGTTGGTGTAATTTTCCTTGGAATTCAACTGTACATGGATGCAAAGAATCATAAACCAAGCAGTGCAGAGAGTACAGCATTGGTGCTGCTCAACACCAGGAAAATTAGGGCTTACAAATCAGCTAAGGAGATGCATGATAAAGATTCTGAAGCACCTTGGGGGAATCGATTCCATTTCATGCATGTTCCGATTCCCATGTTATGTGATACCAACTGTTTCAACCCACTTGAGTTTGTGTTAGAAGCCAACAAAAGAATCAAGAGGAAGAGAAATTCTTTGGCAGTACCACTCACAAACGTGCTTTTGCACTTGTTGAACCAAATCAAAGGCCCGCAGGTTTGAAGGATCCTGTTTTTCTTTAATTACTAGTAATTTTTACAAACTAACAAATTCTATATTCTTTCTAGTTAACAAACTAATAAAGTCACACTAACGAAATTTTTGGTCCTTTTGTTTGTGTTAATTACTTGGTGGTGCAGGCTGCTGCAAACTACGTATACAAGATAATGAATAATACAAGTTTAAGCATCTCACACATGATTGGACCAGTGGAACAAGTGGCTTTGGCTAATCATCCTATCAAAGGCTTATACTTTATGACTGTTGGTTTATCTCAGGTTTATGCTCAGATCTCATTCTTGTTAATTACAAAAATATGTTTATGTTTTCATTTTAATTACAAAAATGTCACTGTATTTTTTTACATTGTTTTTGCTGAAATCGATGTAGGGATGATGTTGAACAATACTTTTTTAGTAATGAGGCCAAGTAAAATAAAATTGAAAGTTTATAGCGTTACATAACTATTTAGTCTATGGCAAAGTACTCATTGTATATTACTATTCTCATTCTTTTTTAATAATAGTTTAAGGTTGCTATATATAAATTAAAAAGTACAATAAATTCTTATGTTTTTCATACAATAGTTTTAATATTTTCGATTATACCTTCTTTCATTTTATTCCATAATAGATACATGTCAATTATAAATGTAAATTAATTAAAAATTAAGTGAAATGTAAGGATAATTGACAAAATAGTAATTAAAACAGTTTTGAACTTGAAAAATGACATATAAATAGAAATAAAATTTTATTAAAAAAATTGAGAATTAAAACAGTAGTATTATATAGACATACGTAACATAAGGGTTCTTTAAATTTTACGGCCTATTTACGTACTAACGTAGCAAAACATGTTATTTTTTAATGGATTTACAGAGTATCACGGTGACTATAACAAGCTACATGGGATATATAAGAGTTGGATTTGGAGTAGAGGAAGACTTCATAGATGAATACCAACTCAAGTCATGTTTCGAAACTTCTCTGGAGATGATGCTGAAAGCAGCTAAAAATGTTGCTATGGAAGCTAAATTGTGATATCGCATTTATAATTCAAAATGTTTTATTATAAGTTTAAAGTCATCTTGGTTGCGTTTAAGAGAAAAGGAGTACTGCCAATTGAATAAGATCAATTGACCCCTTTTCTTTGGAGTGAAAGGAGTAGGAACAAAATAAAAGAGTAGTGTGTGACAATGTAAAACAAAATAAAACGTGAAAAGTAAGAATCCCTAAGTGACCCGATGCATATGTGTGCTAGTAACCAATGTATATGGTGACTTACGTACCGTATAGTTTCAGTTTAAGTGAACTACTATGCTTAGTCTAATGATGGGAGATTGTGATAATATCCTCATGTTGTAAGCTTGAATTCCAGTGTTATTATTGTAATTATAATGAATAAAATATAAGTTTTAGTTTGAGTACAATAAACTTTGGATCTCTTAAGTAATGTTGTGAGCTTGAATTTTATATGGATTAAAAGGCGTAATCAAAAAGAGAGTTTTAGTTAAATGTATAGATAGTTATTACACTTAATTATGAAGGGAGTTTTCATTAAAGGTATGGCGAGTTAAACTTCTCCATGAAAATTATTTGTAAATAAAATTATGAATATTTTAAACTTATAATATGATAATTAAAAATGAGGAAGGATTTACTTACTCTAAGAGTAAGTTTTGGTTGACTTACTAAACTCACTTCACTTAATAATTCATGTTTTATATCAAATTTTAAAAATTCAACCATTAATTAGAAATTTTTATTATATGGATCAAGTTTACAAATTTTAAATAATTTGAAAATTATATGATATTTTATTATATAGATTAGATTCAAATTAACTTATAAAATATTTTTATGATTATCTATCGATTTAAATTAATGAAGTAAAATATCTACTAGTTTTCATTTTTTTTTGAAAAAAAGTAGTAGACTTGATATATGCAATAAGATTTTTTAGGGTGGTTCCGTTCCATCACTCCTAGGCTGAACACTCAGTGATGATGATGAAATTGGTAGCACGTGCATGTAGAGTTAGGAGCATACATCTCATGAGGCTCAATTGATGAGTTAATAAATATGTTATGTGTGTGAATGATGGAGGGATGGTGATAGATGAGATGTGATATATTGAATTGTTATTAATATTGTACGAGAGAATTGACGAAGATGTATGAGATGTAATTTCCGTTTGATTTGTTTGTGTGCCTATCCTTATGTTTTGTATATATATGTTATGAAGGATGAGATATATTCTCACTCGTATTTGTATGTTTGTATTTGAGTTGATCGCCATTTGCAGGATTTAAACATGTACATGATGATGTGTTCGATGAGAGACAACTGTAAAAAGAGGTCTTGCTTTAATAATGTGACATTAGAGTTGAGTTTTGGAAATAGTAGTTGTTCAGTAACTAAATTTTCCATTTAATTATGTTTTATTACCATATACCTTTATTGACAAGAGAAGTTGTTTTTATTTCTTTTGAAACAACACTTTATATGTTTCTATTTTAAGTGATAGATAAAGATGTAAACCCTTTTTACAAGTTTTATGAGAGTAATTATTATAATTATTTTATTTATAAAACTTTTTGTTATAATTTATTTATTAAATCTTTTAATATAGAAAGGTGTCACACAAATAAAGAAACAAGAGATTGAGATTGATAACTGATTTTTTTATTAGTAATAATAAAAAATAATGTTAATAATATATAAAAAAATATATTTGCAAAATCATATTATAAAAATCTAAATTTTAAAAATATTATTTGAACAATTAATTTTTCTTAAAGAAGTCTGACTTTTTTATAATAATAAAAAATTGTATTATATTTTTTTTTAAAAGATAAAATTTGTAAAAATAAGTGAAAAGACATTTTTAAGAGGGAAATAAAGAAACATGAAATTAACATGTAATGAATAGAAAACACATTTTGATTAGTAGTAATAATACAAAATAAAAAGAAATATAAAAAAATTAAAAAAATAAAGAAAATTAAAGATTAAAAATTTAAAATGAAATATTAAATATTAATATTAATATTAAATATCAAATAAAGTGCAAGTAGAAACAAAAATAATAAAATGAAAAAAGTTTTTTGTTTGACCGGCAAAAATTTTCCCATAAGTTTCACACGTGTACCTAGGAAACATTATTTTATTATATGTAAATAATATTAAATATTAAATAAAGCGTAAGTAGAAGTAGGAATAATAAAATGAAAAAAAAATATTGTTTGAGTGGAAAACTTTTCCCATAAGTTTGAGACGTGTACCCAGTATCTAGAAAACATTATTTTACTATATATAAATTGAAGGAGAATCAACTCATTCTCATTTCCATTCAATAGAATTGTGTATACAAAAAGGAGGAATATAATGAAAAATCTGATTACCAACATGAACAGGAGATAATCTAGTGATTCTATCAGTAACCTCATTTGATCCTCTTATAATTATATATTCTCTCTATTTTTTTATTATAAAAATATTTTTAAAAATATAAATTAATTTAATTACTTTTCATCATTTAATAATACTTTCTTGTTTAAAATATTTCTTTTTTAATATACGACTTTTCAATTACACTATTTTTTATATTTATAATAAGAATAATTTTAACAAGTCTTATAAAATAATAAAATTTAATGTAAATAAATAGCAAAGGAGTAATTCACTTTAAATATGTATTGACTCTCATAATATCAAGAACTCGAAGTAGAATAGCACAACATTCAAAAAGATAATCTTCTGTAAAATTGATAAACACTGGTAACAAATTACGTTAGAAACCGTCATTAATAACATAGTTTTTTTTTTTTTTTGACTTCCAAAATTTAATTTCCTAAGAACAAAATCTTCATTAAACGAAAAAAAAAGTACTTCTTTTATATTTACAATTAATGCATTGACCAATAGAAAGGTCTTTAAATCGAACGTGTTCAAGATAGTTTCATCATACATTTTCTTACGCAAGCAGTTCTTGAAGACTATGTTATATGAGAAGATGGATTTTACAAGGAACTCATCTCACATATTGGCATTCTTATTGGCTTTCTTCGTCATTACCACATGTTAGAAATCTAATTTTATTTCCTCTGTGATTTTTCACTCAAATCAATTTACTTTGATATATACACGTTTTATTTATTACATATAAAGTTGTTCTTATAATATATGCTTATGTATTATTTGTGCGTATAGATATGGATATGAAATCTGAAGCACAGTACTTTCGGGGGCCATGTACCGGACACTCAGAATGTCAACGCATTTGTCCAACTTGTTCTAATTGTAATTGTGTTCATGCCTTATGTCTTTGCCAGAAACAACCTATGGCTGACACGAGTGACCCCCCTAGTGGTGAAATATCTCTAAACAATAAAGAGAATATATACTAAAATATTTGTATGAATAAGTATTGCATTTCATCATATTTATCAGTCAAACATTACCTTATGAATAATAATGTTAAACAAAATATTGTATCATTTTTGTTAATCTTTCTTCATTTATATAGTTTTGATATGTTTATTTTTTGAAATTAATATATTTATTGTATGTTGAAAATATAAAAAAAGAACTATTATTAGAAGTTCTCTAATTACACGTACATGAAAAACTAAAAGGGAATACATAAGAAAATAGTTGAGTTGTGTATTTTAAAAATATTTGATTTTTTCCCTCAAAATAGATTGTATTTTTCAAAACAGATAAAAATCGTCTTAAGGAAAAACAAAGAGCTAATGGAACATCTAAAAAGCTTAGATATAGTATTTTCTTATATATCTGGTTTTTCTATCTAAAGATCTAAAACTAATCTCACAATTTGTTTCCAATAGTTAAGATAAGAATTCTAAGGGATGCTTAATAGTAATTTTTATTAAATTTTTTGAGTCTTAACACAGATAAATGAAGAAAATGACAATTTGTTCCAATTATTTTTTTTTGTCATTTTGAGCTTAGAGTCATGTATATGTTAAAATATAATTTTGAAAATTTTCCAAAAATTTTCTAGAATTTTTTGATAAAGGATCAATAAGTTAGCAAGTCATTTTATTTGAAGAATATGACAAATTCTTTGATAAGTTTCCACAAACTATTTGAAGAAAATAAGCAATAATTTTCCACAATAAGTTATTTTATTTGAAGAACACCACAAATTTTTTTTTTGATTTGGTTACATGAGTAAAGAAAGAGAAAACTAACAAAAACAAGTCTAGACTACAACCCATACTTCATCTATGTATTACTTCTGATAGTAGGACTATCAAAATATAAATGTGTTTCACAAGTTTTTAAAGGAAAAATGAGGCATAACTCTGCTTTTGTTAAAATTTTAAAAAATAATATTTTTTAAAAATATTATCAATTAATTTCTAAAATATTTAGTGCATTGTCACCAAATTAGTAAATTTGTCTCATCACTTTAGTTTTAGCTACGAATAATAACAAAAAAGAAATGGCAATTTTATCAAGAAACATTAAAAACATGTTTTTTTTGTTAAACAAACACGATTTTTTACTTATAAAAAATATTATTTTCAATATTTATATGTAAGTATTTAAAAATAAGACTTCAGTATATTTTTAATTCCTACAAAATGAATGAACATATTTTGATTTTTGTTCTTGTAATTTTTTTCTTTATTTTTCATCTCTAATATTTTAAACTATTGTCTTAATTTTTACTATTATGTGATCATTTTTAATTACTTATATATTCATTATAAAGTTATATGACTATCTCAAGTGGTACTCACAACTTTCTATAATAATTTATCTAATTTTTTAAAATTCTTAAAATAAGTATTGTATTTGATGAAATCATGCCTAGGAGTCAAGGACAAAAAGAATTAATAGACTATTAGGTTTGAAGGAAAAAGACTCAAACTCTTATTAAATTTTGGGTCACTTTTAGTAATCTGTTTTCTCTTATTTGTATATATTTTTTCATATAAATATTTTCTTAATTTTAACCTTATATTTTTTTGGTCAAATAATGTAGGAATTTATTTTTTTAACAATTTTCTTTTAGGAGTGTAATTAACATTTTAGGAGGAGTGCAACTAATATTTAAAGATGTGTTTATCGGACTTGTATGACCAATGAGTGAAGAGGGGTGTGATGGTCTAAGAATGGATGAAATTTATGGTCCCTCGTCTCTCCCATGAGACCAAACAAATTCATCAAGTCACGTATTTCACACACTAGTCACACCTTTAACATCTTGACATGTGATGTACTCTCATCGACTCTTCTAAATCTAGAACTTTAACATTTAGTCATCCTAACACTTTGAATTCTTGATTTGATGAACTATAAAGTGTAAGAACCTGATAGATCTTTACATTAATAACATCAAACAATTAATGAGTAATGAAATTTTAAAATTTTGAGCGACAAAAAATATCAAATTATAAAACATGATAACAAAAAGTGCAAAAAGAAAAGCTTATTTCTTTTTATTGCAATGTTTGATTTGTTGAACAATGTGTATTTATGGGACAAAGTTAGGGTGCGTGGCGAGTGATTTTTCCATTAAGAAGGTCAATCCATGCATATACTTATAAATGTGTTTCTTAATCTTTCTTCAGCAACTTTGATGACCTTTTCTTTTAAAAGGATGATAATTAAGAAGCAAATGTTTATTTTACTTTTCTTTTATATAAAAATTATTATAATGAGAATAAGGTTTAAATTTAAGATTTTCTGTACATATTATTCCAATTTTCATTATTAGACTAATATTAGTAAAATATTTCTTTTAATAATAGTCCTTAAGAATTAAATTGGATTTTCATTATTAGTTATTGTTATATAGAAATTGGTATCGATAGGTAAATTATAACACCCTCTATCTCACATGCGTTAATATAGAAATAATAAAAATTAAATAACATAATTCCTTATAAATAAAATTAAATGAGTTCAGATAGAACCCCAAGCGTGTGGTTCAGCGGTAGGGGTTGATCTACGCTTAAGCAAGGTCAGGGGTTCGAATCCTGTCTTGTGTATGCAGCCGCGTTAAATCTTGGGGCCAGCCTCCAACGTAGCGCGGAGATTAGTCACTGCTATCGACGGTGGATACTTCAGGCACGAACAAAAAAAATGAGTTCAGATAGAAAACATCACATTCTTAACTTAAACAAAATAATATAATCAACAAAAATTACAAGAAAAGAAAACTAATATCTCCAAAATAAACCAATATAGAAATATTTCACTCTATCTCACAATGTATAAATACAATCGAATAGTCAAACACAAATAAGGCATATATATATATATATATATATATATTATAATATAGCATGGATAGATTGGTAACAATAACATACTTAACTCATTCATGACATAATAATAAAATAACACAGAGTAATCTAGGAATACATGCCGAGTCACACCCTCTACGCATTTTTGTTAGGAGGACATACTATTGAATTCTAGTTGGGATAGTTGACTCTCCTGATTTTGTTTTTGATTATTTCCCAATGTAACGACCCGCCTGGTCAATACACACAGTACAGCACACCAGAATACTACACAGAAACGAACAAGTATATACATATAGGGTCTAGAATATATATATATACAAGGTCCAAAATCCGTCTAGAATCAGAGTGTACAAAATACATCCAGCAAATGCTAACTAAGCAACTAAATACATCAAAAGAAGAAAACTTCATCTGCTAGCTGCAGACTCTCCTCAGCAAACACCAACCTAACCCTGCCCTGCTCCCACACATAGTATGATCATCGCAGTCCAAACCACATGGAAACAACAAAGGGTAAGCTAGTGAAAGAAACAACATACATATATAAATATATGAATAATAAACAGTTACAGCTATCAGCACATCAATCATCTTAACAACATCAGCTTAATATATATAATAGCACACCTTTCACATCATTCAGCAATAACAGCAGAGAACAACAGTACACAGCGGTAAACAGCAGTAAACACACAATGCGTCGTCACGCACATAAGTTAGTATTGGTCGCTTGTAAGCGGTATAGCTCGACCTGGCCCCTATACCGTGGTCGCTTTGTACACGTGTGTCTCGACCTTGCCCACACACGGGACCACTAAGGACCTAGAGGAGAACAACAAGTTACCACTCCAAGGATCAGCTTTCCAGGGAGGGTTTTCAACAAATTGGGCTCTAAGAGCACCACAACCACTCAAAGATTTGTTGATAAGAATGGATTTGTTAAAGAGCGCTTCTTGGATTTAGTACATGTGAAAGATACTACATCATCCACTCTTAAGCAAGAAATCTGTTTAGTATTGTCTAATCATAATCTCAACATTGAAAATATTAGAGGCCAAGGATATGATGGAGCTAGTAATATGCGTGGAGAGTGGAATGGTTTGCAAGCTCTTATTCTTCAAGAATGTCCTTATGCATATTATGTACATTGTTTGGCTCATCAGTTACAATTAGCTCTTGTTGCTGCATCTAAAGATTCAAGTGATGTTCATGCTTTTTTTCAAAACTTGAGTAGGATTGTTAATGTTGTGTGTTCTTCTTGCAAACGCAATGATGAGTTACATGATGCTTATGAGACTGAAATTGCACGTTTGGTTGCAAATGATGAGATTGAAACTGGGAGGGGAGCTAATCAAATTGGCACACTACAAAGACCTGGAGATACTAGATGGAGTTCTCATTTCAATTCAATATGTAGCCTTCTACGCATGTTTAATGCAACTACTTCAGTTCTTGAAGATTTGGTGGTTAATGGAACTGGCTCTCAACGAGGTGATGCTACTTATGCTTTCAGAGTATTGATGTCTTTTGAATTTGTTTTCATTTTACATGTTATGAAAGAAATTATGGGAATCACAGACAAGCTTTGTCAAGCTTTGCAGCAAAAGAATCAAGACATTGTGAATGCTATGTGTTTGGTTTCTAGCACAAAGTCACTAATTCAAAAGTTAAGGGATTTTGGTTGGGATTCTCTTTTAGAAAATGTTAACTCTTTTTGCAATAGCCGAGGTGTACCAATTCCTGATATGAGTGCTACTTACTCTGACATAATTCGAACTCGGCTTAAAAAGGATTCTGTGACAGTTGAGCATCATTATCGTGTAGATATATTTACTGCAGCGATAGATTATCAATTGAAAGAATTGAATAGTAGATTCAGCGAGCAATCAACTGAACTTCTTATGTTGAGTGTAGCTTTGGATCCTAAAGATGCATTCAAATCATTTAATGCTTGTGATATTTGTAGTCTAGCTAAGAAATTTTACTCTTCAGATTTTTCTGACCAAGAAATGATTCATATGGAATATGAATTGCAACATTATGAGTTTGATGTGCCAAAGGATCCCAAATTTCATAATTTGTCAACTCTTGGTGAATTATGTCAAAAACTAGTAGAGGTTGGCAAATCAAATGTTTATCCTTTAATTGATCGATTGATACGACTTGTTCTTACTCTGCCCGTGTCAACAGCAACTACAGAACGTGCTTTTTCAGCTATGAAGATTATAAAAACAAGTTTGCGCAACAAGATGGAAGATGGTTTTCTTACTGACTACATGATTGTTTATATTGAGAAGGAGATTGCACGAAGATTTACAACTGATATGATAATTGATGATTTTTACTTCATGAAACAACGACGGGCACAACTTAAGAAATAAAGGTACATACTTGAATAACTTGATCTTGCAATATGTTCGATATATTTATCAAATGTAAATATGAGAAATAATTTTTATTAAATTATGTTAATTATTATCTAGTTTTGTCAGATAATATGCTTTTGATACTTTAATTTTCATTTATTATAAATTATATATTATTTATTCTCGGCCCCCCAGTATTGAAATCCTGGCTCCGTCCCTGAATATATATATATATACAAGGTCCAAAATCCGTCTAGAATCAGAGTGTACAAAATACATCCAGCAAATGCTAACTAAGCAGCTAAATACATCAAAAGAAGAAAACTTCATCTGCTAGCTGCAGACTCTCCTCAGTAAACACCAACCTAACCCTGCCATGCTCCCATACATAGTATGATCATCGCAGCCCAAACCACATGGAAACAACAAAGGGTAAGCTAGTGAAAGAAACAACATACATATATAAATATATGAATAATAAGCAGTTACAGCTATCAGCACATCAATCATTTTAACAACACCAGCTTAATATATATAACAGCACACATTTCACATCATTCAGCAATAACAGCAGAGAACAGCAATACACAGCGGTAAACACACAATGCGTCGTCACGCACATAAGTTAGTATTGGTCGCTTGTAAGTGGTATAGCTCGACCTGACCCCTATACCGTGGTCGCTTTGTACATGTGTGTCTCGACCTTGCCCACACACGGGACCACTAAGGACCTAGAGGAGAACAACAAGTTACCACTCCAAGGATCAGCTTTCCAGGGAGGGTTTTCAACAAATTGGGCTCTAAGAGCACCACAGCCACTCAATCCACACAATGGGATGAGGAATTTCGAAAACATCTCCTCTAGTCTTAGTGATCAACAGCTCAGCCTTACGGCCTACAATAGCTCCTATCAGCACGGAGCACAGCACTGCATAGCAGTAATAACAGCACCGACTTAGCGGCTACAATAGCACCAACTTAGCGACAATAATTATTAAAATTACAAAATGCCATTAATTACAAAAGTACCTTTAAAAAAAATTGGGGTGTTACATGAGTCACACAAAATACATCTCATGCATATAATGGACAAGACTGAGACTTCCAAATTAAGATATCCCTTAGGATTGATTCCCAAACTTTTAGATAAAGGACTCTTTCCAGACAGTGTATTTCATATCGTACCCTTGAAAACACTTTTATTCACATGATGCATGTCATATAGACCCAATACCTAATCATATTACAACAATACATATATACTCATGATTCATCTCAATTCATTTTATTCATAATCACATCATTATATCAAGATTCCAAGTAAGACATTATCCAATTCATACATGATTCATAGACAAGTATTATACATTGTATCTCAAACCGATAAATATGACTTATCTCAAGTAATGAAAATGATAAAAGGATAGAGAAGATAAGAAAATGATGAGAAAAAGGAATATCATAGCATGAGTCACAATTATAACTCATGAATCGCAGTCGTTATGTCAGTCACACTCGTGACTGACTCGGCAAGAATCCAAAGAAAATCAAGTATAAATCTCATTAATTTATTAAATTTAGTGGTAAGTATATATGTCATTAATTAATCAAAGATACACTTTGATACTATTTTAAAATATTGATTTAGGTCTAATTTAATTTCACAAAATTAACTAGTAAAATTTGGATATTCTTTGATTCATATAAACTATGATGTTATCGATAGTGAATGTAAGCTTAAATTTTTCTTAATATATGGTCAAAGAAACTTATATGTATATTTTTGTTGAAATCGAAAAAAGTTAAATTTTTCTTATTCTTTGTTCAAAATCCTAAACGCAATTATTTTGAGGAAAGGAAAAAAAGGATGGAAAGAAGTTGATGTTAATGTCAAGGATCACAGCAAGTTTCCCACTTTTCCCACCACCATGCCACTCGAGTTATATGACAAGTGTTTCCACGAATACAAGTCAAAAATAGCTATGGAACAGTTACCACAAAATAAACCACTTTGGGAAATGCACATATTTAAGTACCCAATGAGCAATGCTGCAGGAACTTTTATATCCAAGCTCCATCATGCACTTGGAGATGGCTACTCTTTCACGATAACCTTTCTATCATGCGTACAAAATAATAAGGTGCTATGTATTTTTGTTAAATTATGGACAAAAAACGCCTATAACATGTTATTGCTGTGTGAAATTTTAGGCAGAATTAATTATCTCTTTTCTATGTAGTATCAATCATTTTTTTCTATTTATATTTTACATAACATTTTTTAGATGTGATTATCATGTTTCATTCTTTTTAACAAAAAGAGATTAATTATATAATTAATTTTATAAAATTATTATTCTTATTTATTTATTTATTAATTTTGTTGACTCGTGTAAAATAATTTAAAACGATACTTATTATGAGATTGTATAAAAATAATTAGGACATTATTTATGAATAGAAAGAGTAGTTTAATTTTTTTTTTTTAGTTTTTCATTCAAAACCCTTAATCTTTTGGAAACTTTAATTATATAAAATTAATGATTGTTCTTTTTTTATTATGGTAAATGTGATATATGGTTAATTTACTTAATTTCTAGTTTATTATTACTTGTACGCCCCATCCACTTGCCAAGATCCTAATTATCCACAAGAGTCCAGGTTTAAAGTAAGGGAACTACTAATACGCACAACATTAAGTATTTTGTTCTTGAAGCTAGAATTAATACTAACACTTTATTCTAGAGGGTTCTGCTAGGCCTCGGCACTTAATGCCGCCACTTTGCTAGAGGCATCATGCTTCCCCTAAATATTTGAAATTAACCCTTTGTTTGGAATACATGCAGAAGGATAACAAAGGAAAAATAGCTCTATGCTTTGCGCTTTTTTTTTTTTTTTTTTTTAATGAGTTTATTGTACCTTATATCACTTTAATATATTATTTATTTGTTAAAAAATGGAGAACAAAAGAAAATAATGGAAGGAAAACCTCATTAATGATTAAAAATACTATAAACCTTTTACTGTTACAACATATAAAGCCAAAATTATTATATTGCATTTTTTTAAGAATATTTACGTTATTTTATTTTCTTTCACTTTTTCATTTCTCTTTTCTATTTTTACCAAACAACTAAATAATCATTTTAAGTATTTTCTCTTCTTATTACTTTCGTTTCTTTCCTTAATCTTTCTTTTGCAAACCAAACAAAGCATAAAGGAAGCCCTATGACTTTCCTTCCCCCAAAATACACCAATTTGCTAAAACAGAAGTTGCTTCCACTATTTTCCTAAACATCAATTGCAAAAACCATGTAATAACTTCCTCGATCATCCTTAAATCTCACGATCTCCTACAAAAACACTATTCATGAATAGTAAAAACAAAAATAAATGGCAAATAGCAGGTGCGGATTGTATAGGAAACATGCACATTCACTTTGAGGGATACACGATTACAAACTCTAGGGGGTTGGGTCTTTAGCCTTCTCTCTTTCTACCCCTTCTCACTTTTTACCTCTCTCTTTTCTTTCTTTTCTAAAATTAAACCAAACATCTCTCCCTTATAAGAATGTTGTGAGAGTGTGCCTAGGTGGCCTTATTCCCCTTTTTGTATCTCAAACAAAGTCCTATTAATTGCGAATGTTTTCGGGTAACCCCCTAAACAACAATGGTTAAGGCATCCTCATTCCTCGACTAATTAATATAATTAAGACTAGGGTCATAAAAAGAGAGTTTTTATTTATTTATTTCTTAAACCTATAACTGGGGATGTTATAATTTTCTCCCTTTCATGGATTCCCCCCCCCCCCCCCCCCCCCCTCTTTTTTTTTTTTTTTTTTTTTTTTTTTTTTTTAAACCCATAAACGGGGAATTTTTAATTTTTTCCCCTTCAATGGTTTCCCCCCCCCCCCGGCCCCCCCCCCCCCTCTTTTTTTTTTTTTTTAAACCCATAAACGGGGAATTTTTAATTTTTTCCCCTTCAATGGTTTCCCCCCCCCCCCGGCCCCTTCTTTTTTTCCTTTGGTTTTTTTTACCTTAATTTATTTATTCAAAAGTGTTAAGAAAAGGTTAAATTAATTCAATTGAATAAATTTTAATATGCATAATTATATTAACACATTATCATAGTGTAATTTTTAAATAAAAATCAAAAGTTTACGTATATGCATGATTTTTAACATAAATTACACAAGGGAAGACGAGGCAGAACCAAGTCTGCATGGCCTGTTGTTGGGTTCAACACGTTTAGTGAATCAGCAAATCAATTTTCAAAAAGAATTTGACAAATGATCGATAATCTTGATATAATGAAATAAAATGTTGTAATATGCGCAACGATACTAAGGAAATAGAAAAAAAAAAAAAAAGTAGTGAGATTTAACATTAAAAACACTCTAATGTGAAGGGAAAAAATCACGAGACAGACCTAAAAATATATTCTACCATATATTTTTTTTAAAAGAGATAGATGTGATCTAGCATCATTATGGAGAAGAAGATCCTAACTAGGTTAGCATCCCGCTCCCCATCAATCATATGCTTCACATCGAGAGTGCTAAAAATATAAGAGAAAATAAAGGTACAACGTGGGGACCGAACCAAAATCCACGATAAAATGTAAAACAAAGAAAATAAAAAAAAAAAAAAAAAAAAAATGGATCATAAGCCAAGACTAATGAACTACATCCAAACATGATATCTAATCAAATATCAACAACAGATAAACTAGTGCATACATCAAGATAGTTTGGAAGACTTGGCTCTCCTAGCTCTAGTTCTAGGCCTACTTGGAGATGCTTTTTGAATCTTAGGTATCTGGACTTTTTTGGGAGTGTGGGACCCACATCTCATTGCTGCCTCAAGGACACGCATGTCATGCTGGACCATAGGATCAAATTCAGCCAAATTTGGTTCCTTGACGGTCTCAAAACTATGCTCCGGTCTAGGGAGACTATATATGAACATAAGGTATGTATTCCTCTGCATCTTCTTCTGATTCAGTTGCAGTCTCAGCAATTGCAGCAAAATCCCATTTAGAATGACTCTTTACTACACTCCCACACAAAAAAAATGTAGAAAAAGAAATTAAAAAAACTGTTAACCCAAATAATGATCAAGTATTTGTGTATTTTTACTAAAGATCAGAATTTCTCATCTTATAGAGACTGACTGGTGGAAAGTAGTTATTTATTAAACAAAAATAATAAAAAAA